ATCTCCAAGTGGCGCCAAAACACCACGCCGCACTTGCAAAGCGATGGGCGGAGCGTCGGTGGGGGGAGGCGTGAATCAAAGTACGCAAACACCGAGTCTCACTTTTTTTATTCCGACAATAAACTAGGAACAATAGAATAGCGGAATAGAACTGAGCGAAATAGAACTGCGCAAAATTCAAGTTATAGTTCGTTCCAAATGAATAAATTTTCTGAAAAACAAAAGAAAAACAAGAGACACAAATTCCGATCAATTTAATGTCGGATATGCCCCTAGTTTTCTATTTCACGCAGCTCTCGTTCGTAGCAGTTCTATTTTGAAAAAAAACTCTAACAAGTCGTACCCCCGAAAACTACCGCAACCTAAATATTGATTGAGTTTTTTGAATAAAAATTTTTTCTGTTTTCTCAAGACAGCAAATCATATTTTAGCTACATAAACTAACCTTTAGCAAATTTGAGAAGAAGTTAGCCAGCGGACTGTCTTTGTCGGCTGGCTCTTCCTGCATCGTTCTTTGTTTCGGACCGGAGCTAGTGGTAGATGTTGCCAACGTATCCATCAGCTTTTTGAGAAATGCCTGATCTTCCTCTGCTTCGATCAGCTGTTCCTTGGCTACTGGTCTCAGCTTATCACGAGTTGGTTCTAGAGCTGCATCAGCATCCGGGATTGATTCCTGAGAATACAAATGTTCAGACACATTTTGTACTTCGAACACAATTTTAATTGAAAACAATGTGATAAACCAACTTACACGGATGATGTCGATCTTTTTCTCTCCATCCCAACCAGCTGGAACGAAAATAGAATCTCTTTCGATGACTTGAGCGGCACTGGTGAAAGCCGTGCCGAAAGAACGGTGGACAATGTACTTCTGGAGTAGTTGAATGTTCTTGGATTCCTTCGTACTTGTGAAAATGAGAGTGGCTCCTAAGCTGAGGCATAGCTTGCGAAGTTGAATGCTAATCTTAGCAAACTGAGCATCGGTGAACTCCTTTCCTAAAACTTTCGCAAGAAAATATAACTTTTTTCAACAAGAAATAAAGATACCAAGATCCGATTTGGTGATTACCACCATAAAGGTAACTCCACAATTTTCGATAAGAGTTCCTTGATCCAGTGGAAGCAAGCTGTGCTCATCGGCAAAACTTCCGACCACAGAAGTACTCATATGCGATTGGACCGGGTCGACATATTCTTGCCACATTCTTTCTTCTAGAACAAAATTTTGTTTACGAAAACACACAAACACAGTTTATACTAACGTTGGTTTCTTCCAGCTTTCAAATCTTCTTTGGAAAAGTGCTTTTGAGCTTGTTCTGTGCAGACGTTCGCCCATCTCTTCAGCGAGTTAATAAGGTCTTAAAATCGCTGTCATCGACTGTGAGAGATTCAGCCACTTACTTGGGTTGTCAATGCTGGCCGAAAGAATGAATACAACTTCTGATGGAGTTGCAGGCAAAGCATATTTCAAAAGAGATGCACAGCTTTCGTTTCCATCTAGAGACCAAACCGGGATTTGGAGTAACTCGGATGGATTCAAATTGGCACCGGCTGTTCCCAATTGATATGCGTAACTAGCATCCCGAGCATCGTTTTGCACATGAAGAACACGATAACCCAGAAGCGATTTTGGCTTCGACGAACGATCAGACTTATCCAAACGAGCGAGGAGAGAAGACTTGCCACACCGATTATCTCCGAGGACAATCACAGTACTTCCTTGATTCGTATTAGTCTTTTTCGAAGCTAGCACTTCACGCCTGAAGGATACATAAGTTTTGACATATTTTTATGCTCAAATTACCAGATTCCTACTTCATCGTCCGTCGAGGAATACAAAACTGGAAGAACTGCATTGGCAGTGTCGTCAAGCTCTTGCTGTTGAGTAGTTAGTGACATGCTGAACCGCGTTGAATGGAAGCCGGTGTTCAGTAAAGTGAAACAAAAATTTCAAAGTTTGCTCTCAGTCTGCGTCTCCCGATTACCATTGTGTCTTCGTGTCGTGGCCAAAGACGCCGGTTGTGAAATCAAACGCGCCTTTAAAACTGTGTAAACACAACTACGACAAAGCTCACATTCACTGAAATTTTTTTGAAGACTTCTGTTTGAAGATATAAATGACTTTTCAGTTTTTTATCTGTTTTCACTCATTTTTCACTCATTAGTACTTTCAACTCGTAATATCCTAAACAGTTTTGGTCTTTTTAGAACTTCTCTCCAAGCTGTCGTTACATGCTTTATGAATTCTATTCAAAATATTCAACAGGTGCAAAATAAATATTAAATCAGCTAACTTTACACGACGATTTCAGCTTCGTGAGTTTCTAACAGTTTACAATACACTCAGTGAACGCTGTTTCAACGCCTGCGCTCGTGATTATACCACTTCGACCCTCACAAAGGACGAAGGTTCCTGTGTCAGTCAGTGTAAGATCCTCTGCAGCTATTAGTGGTAATATTATTGAGGTTTTAGGCATTGACAAGCAGATGCTAGTAAACCGTCGGTTTATGCTAGTATTCGCAGAACAGGCCCCAAAAGCTCTTTTCAAACAAGGAGAACAATCACCAACCGAAGCTATTAAATCAGCTTCAGCTACCAAGTCTGAGCCGGTTTCCCCACCAGAATCCACCCAAACAGCAATAGTTGAAGAGAAACAGTTTGTTTGAGAAACAGTTTCTATAGAATATACAAACTTTCAGGCAATGAGCATTATCTCTGAGCATGGTTTCCGTATGGACGGAAGACGTCCAGCACAAATTCGCAATATCAACACTCGTCTCGGTTTGAACAGGAATGCGGAAGGTAGCTGTTATCTTGAGCATGGAAATACGAAGGTACATACCAATCCGCCTATTCAAGTTGAATTTCGGTTCGTTTTTAGGTTCTCTGTGCTGTGTATGGTCCATATGAAAGTAAAGCGTCCAAGAGGTTGGAGGATAGATGTGCCATTGTTTGTCAATACAGTACCACAACATTTTCGGGTCTTGAAAGGAAGAATCGTCCACGCGGAGACCGAAAGTCAACAGAAATTAGCAGACTGCTTGAGAAAGCTTTTGAATCTGTTATTCTAACGGAGTCATTTCCAAGATCACAAATCGACATTTTCTGTGAAGTTATTCAAGGAGACGGTTCAAATTTGGCAGCTTGTGTGAACGCTACTTCGTTGGCACTTGCTGATGCAGGAATCCCAATGAAAGGTATCGCTTCAGCAGCTACATGTGGAATTGTGGAAACAAAGCCCATTGTTGATCTCACCTCAAGAGAAGAAACGGATCTGTTGCCCAGAGTCACAGTATGTTACATAAAATATTTCTTAAGCACTGATGTATTCATCTATTTTCAGCTTGCGACCATTTGTGGCCGTGATGAAGTTATCCTGGTGGAGCTTCAAAACCGTCTTCACATCGATCATCTCTCGGTCGTCATGGACGCCGCAAAAGCAACATGCGCTGACGTCTATGAATGTCTGGCTGTTGTTGCCCAGCAACATCTAAAAGCTTGTGCTCCCATTTTAGGAAATTAGGTTCTCAGCAGATTTTTCCTTCCCCATTTCTTTCTTTATCTCTTCTTTGTTGTTCATCATTTGAGTTGTTATTTCTTTCAAGTTTAAAATAAACTGTTCAGCCATGTTCACAGAACCTTGAGGCGTCTGAGTATGTATCCCTCCTTTTTACTTTAAATTGCATCATTTTCCACTGCTCATTCTCTTTTCAGGCATGTGGGGTCGTGGATTGATTCCCATCCGGAATGGGCTGGTGGTTTCGCGTTGCCGAATGTCAGTAGCAGGAAGTTCAGCGGAGATCGATGGTATACATCACCCGAAAAGATTTGAAATGCTCTTATGTTTTTAGACTTTCTTCATACAATTAGTTCTGCCACAACCCATGGTTCTGTCAAGAACATCACAGTGCTAGAAACTGCCCCAGAATTTTTCAAAGTAATTCCAGGAGTCTTAATCATTAGAAAAGTTGATAATTTTAGTGGTTGGAACAAAATCCTGTTAAATCTGTCGAGAACTTTATCAATGCAGCGAGGCTGTCAATAAATGTGAAATCAGAAGATCAAAGCAAAGTGTTCTTGAGGATCAATAAGATTGCTACAAGTATCTTGCCTTCATTTTATGGAACTTTAGGTCCAAAGGAGATAGTTGAAATGCTACGATTCGCATTGCAAATCAATACGAAAAACAACATTTCGAGTGATATTCAGAAACTGTTTCTCGAAAAAAGTAAGTTTCTGTATAGATGACAATATCTCAATCAAAGTTTATAGATTTCAAAACAGTTGACCTTCATGATGTATCATTCCACACACTTGTCATGCTCATTCGGTATTCCGATTCTTCCGTCGATCAGAAAGTTTTGGATACAATTACGGATTCCGTGCTTTTGAGAATCGAAAAGTAATTTAATCAATTCTCCGATTATCGGGTTATGTTATATTTATGTTTCAGAGAGCTCGGAAACGCAGCCGATCTTCTCACAATTCTTGCCGGAGAAGGTGTCACAAGATCGAAATGGTTCTACAACGCAGCTTTTATTAGGGCCGCGGAAAAGCTTGTTCCGGTTATGGGTCTTCCAGAAAAGTGTGCTCTTCTGAAGCACATGTCTATACACAGACAACGAAATCGGCAGTTGCTTGGAGCGATCGTTCACTCGATATCGACTTCGAATCAGTGCTTATCGATTCCTCAAGTTGTCAGTGTAGTCAGTGCGTGTGCCTCGCTCACTTATTATCCACCGAAAATCGCTAAGAAAATTTCGGATGATCTCATGAAAAACTCGAATGTTCTCGATAATTGGAATGATATCATTGTTATAACCGACTCGTTTGTTCGAATGAGAATGGGCGATCAGAACTCATGGAAGCTGCTTGTCCGATGGGCTAACGAGAATGTTAAGCAAGCTAACGTCGTTCAGCTGAGCAGATTCGTGTCGGGATTAGCCAGAATAGGCGAGCCTTCTGGAAAACCATTGGCAAAAGTGTTGAGACCGTTGTTGGCAAAAGAAAGAGCTTTGAAACAGACTGCATGGCTAAATACTGTGTATTCACTTGCGTATTTTCAAGAGCTCGATGAAAGCCTCGCGGATTCGGTTTTGAACAAGAGCTTTGTAGATCAAGTAATGAGTTCCACAATGTGAGTATAATAAGGGAAGTTCTGCAAAAATTTACTCTTTTCTGCAGGGAAGTTCATGATCGTTTGAGAAAAGCAATGACATTGATGTTGATCAGCTCAGCTGCACGCGTCGATATGCAAGACAAGTATCATGGACCAACTGTGAACAAAGCAACCTTTGCAAGCTACGGAATCACTTTTGATGCAAAAACGATTCGAAACGCGCGACAGTTAAAGTACTCGAGTAATTCAGTAGAATGTGACGGAATTTTCCTCAAGTCGTTATTTAAAATTGCCCCACAAGATACTCACTGTAGTCTTCCGAATGTGGAGGAATGTGGAGCGTTTGTCGATGCATATGTGATGCCCGATGAGGTGAAATTTGCAAGCTGGCATAATCGTTGTTATTCATTTTCAGAAATCAGAGCTTCTTGTGAATACATCGCAGTGGGGAACCAAAAAACCCAGACCGCTTTTTTTCTACGGATGGATGCAAACTAAGCAGGTTTGGTCGTTTTTCTATAAATTCTGTATATGAATCTAGAAATTCCAGAACGTTTCAAATATGACCAGCGAGGACAATATACTAGGCCAAGAGCAGTTGGGACTTCGATTAATTAGAGCACAAGGATACAGCCCTGTGGTCGTATTCAAGTCCGAGTTCGATTATTGCTCTTCAGACATTGAAAAAGTGAACATGTTGCGTGATAGAATACACAAGAAGAACTAGTACTTTTGCATTAGCTTAGATTTATAGATTTTTTGTTCGTTCGGATATTATCGTTGTTAATAAATATCCTTCATATGTATTGTTCTTTTTTTATAACCCATTGATCTAACGGTTAATCATCTATCTTTTTATCTTCTCTTTGAAACGGTTTCGGTAATGAATTTACTTGTTCATGTAGTCCACAATGGACGTAGTCACTCTACCAACGTCTCTAAATTCTCAAGCTGATGTCTGTGTTATTGCCGATGATCTCCTTAGAATGGTAGATGGTAAATCAAAGCAAGGAACCATTTACTGTGTATTTACGGTCAGATCCATAGCTGAAAATGATTGATCGAAATGAAATTTTCAGGAAGACGTAGTTCTGCAGCAGCCGTTCAAGCTTTTCTACTACACAAAGCTCAAAAGTGTCACACAACTGAATAACGATTTCATTAAAAATCACGGCTTTCCAATGTGGTGAGTGCAGAAAGAGTTATGCGAAAAGTTCAGAAGGTGTTCAGGTCTGACTATCATTCAGCATCACACCCACGGATGGCCAGAAGGAATGGTGATTACATCAAATTCAATTTCTTTCAAGGCCCCAATGGGAGAAACGATGGAATCATCTACACGTAAAAAAAGATGTACCTCATGAGAATAGGCGACATTTTTATAGATGGACTGACTTCCATGGGGGTGAACATGCCCGATTACCGACCCAATCAGAGTTTCAATTGTTGAGAGCTCCGAATAGAGACAACAAGAATCTTTATATGACTATCACTGCGGAATCAGTATGAAATAGTTTTCAAATATTGTTAAAATTGTTTCATTTAGACGACTGTTATGCTACTATCTGAAAAATCATTCGGCTCCTATCTCCTCATGAAGGAGAATCAGCGAAAGATAGAGAAAAACCATGTTACGTGTATGATCGTACAGGACTGCTCTGTAGCGATGACGATGTTCAAGAAGTGTGGTCATGCTGTTTGTGAAATGTGCTGGGCCAGGAACCTCATCGAGAAAGAGAAATCAAATGTTACTGAAATCAAATGCCCATCCTGTCAAAGTTTTGATGTCGGAAGAGGTTTTAGTAATCGGTTTATGCATCAATTTGTTGACTTTCTGTTGTTCAGACCAAATAATCAGGCTGAAACTTCGTCAAGGGCCTTGTCCAATCGACATGTGCACTCCCGATGCAAGTACATACGGCGCTGTTCTCGTGCCCTGCGGGTCCGTTTAGGCTTTGAAAAATTGAAGTAATAGATCCTTTCCAGCTGCCGAATCCACTGTAAACATCTCGTAGATGCATGCACCAAGTATAAGAACAACCCGGACGATCTGGCTAGAAAACTCAAAAGTTGTCCGTATGACGCTTGTAAGAAGATGGTGGAGGAAGTTATTCCATTGAAACAAGGCTGACACATGTTAGTTATTAAACTCAAAAACTAATTTTTTGCTTACTTTTCTTTCAGACGACGCCCGAAAATTGATGCCATCTATCGAACCAAAAATCCAGTTTCTATTAGAGACCTCCATCCACTCGTCCATGATAAATAGCAATTAATTTTTATCCGAACTATGTTTTAACCTTTTCATATGCCTATTAATTATATTTACACGAATACAAACTGTTTAATGGTTAATAATTGTATATCCCTGTTGCAATATGGGCCGATTTACGGGCAATAAAGCATTCACGATCAAGGGTTTCTAAATTCTTATCAGGTCGACATCCAGAAATTAAATTATACTATTCTTCTCCCAACAGCACGATTTTTTTGTTTCCTGTCCCGAATTTGGAAGTCGAATTTTGAACGCGGTCGAATAAATAATCTTTCCAGATGTCCCAAGCTGCGAATTTTCCTGAAAACATACAAAAGTTCATTGTAAAAAGTGCTCCTCCAACAATGATATACATCCCTAATTGGATTGATGAAGATGAGGAACAGTTGTACAAGTCTTGCATCGAAAACGCACCGCAACCTAAATGGCGCGTCCTGGCAAACCGACGTTTACAGAACTATGGAGGTGTCGTCGGAAAGTCGGCTTTGATTCCATCTGACGATTTTCCTGTGGTTAAAACTTCGAATCTTTTTTTTTTCTAGGATTCGCTTTTTTCAGGAGCTCAAGTACTTGATGACTAAAATCAATGACCTCGGAATCTTCAAAAATCCAGTCAATCATGTACTGGTGAACGAATATGCTCCCGGGCAAGGTATCATGCCACATACAGATGGACCTGCATTCCATCGAATCGTCACCACAGTTACAATCGGATCCCATTGCTTTCTGGATATGTATATGCCAGTTGATCAAGAGGTAATTGAATATTTCAGAAAAACACATTTATTATGTACAAATGGCAATTACCCATATCAAGTTAAAAGCACTATTGTCTATTCAAAATAATCGCGCGGGTGAAC